GAGGCAGTAATAGAGTCCAATAAATAAGATACTGGACTGGGACTCAGGAGACCTGGGTTCTATTCCCAGTGAGCTACTCTGACACTGTGAAAGTCACTTCACCTCTCAGACTGTTTCCCCTCTGACCATCTTGTTGTCATTTAGGATTGAAATCTCTTCAGGGCAGGTACTGTCTCTTACTATATATATATATATTTTCACAGGCAGTAATAGAGTCCAATAAATAAGATACTGGACTGGGACTCAGGAGACCTGGGTTCTATTCCCAGTGAGCTACTCTGACACTGTGAAAGTCACTTCACCTCTCAGACTGTTTCCCCTCTGACCATCTTGTTGTCATTTAGGATTGAAATCTCTTCAGGGCAGGTACTGTCTCTTACTATATATATATATATTTTCACAGTGACTAGCACAATGGTGCTCTGATCTTAGGTAGTTGGGCCCCCTAAGTACTACTATAATACAAATAAATATTAACAACCAAGGTTAATTTACCTTGCAGTGTTTTCTTACAGTGGCTATTTCTATTACAATGACTGAGATGTGTTGGTGAAGTAGAGTGACAGCTGCTCACTGTACAGTTAGACATGCTGCATTCTGACTGATTTAAAACAAAAAGATTTGTTTGAGCCAGTTTACAAAATAATTTATCCATTAAAGGTACGGTTTTAAAATAATTTCTTGATTTTACAAACACAGGGGTCTGACTGGCTGTACCTTAATTTTTTTTTAACTGATTGGTTCTTAAATAGAATAAACTCTTGCAGCAAGTGACAGAAAAAAAAATTCAGGGAAGATTCTGCTCAAACTCTCCTGACAAGGTCTTAATCCTGCTGCAAATTATTCTATACACTAGAATGCAAAGAAACATAAAAGCAGACACCAAAGTAGTGTACATAGTGAAACAAACCAAACTGCCACCAACTAATTTAGTTCTTCAAGATGGAATTAAGCCACCGCTTAAACTGGGCAAATACCATTGAGCTATCCCTGATTAGTTGCAATGGATATAAAATCATAGTAATAAAATATTGTCATCCAATGACTTCAGCTTTGGAAACCAATATATTTTCTTTGCCTCAGCATTTAAATAGCAGCAGTAGTGTGGGTACCACTGACATTAATAAAGTGACTCCTAAATAATATTTCTCCCAAATAAGAGTCAGCCATCCACTAATGTGATTGCTTTGGTATATTTATTATCATAAGCAGTCACTATTTTACCTTTTAAATGTCAGAGTTTATCTAGTATTTCATCTTTGTTGGGCTCTGCATACAGTTTAAAGAGCCATGCCTCATTTATTAATTTTGGATCTAAAGGTAGTAAATATTGAAATTATTTTGGACATTTGCTTTTGATCCATGTTACATTAATTCTGAACATTTCAATCAATGTGTCTATCATAATTAACCTTCTGAGCACATTAGATACAATCTGTTCCATGTTGATTAGTGATAACTTTCCACTCACCCTTTATCTCTTTGGTGAATTTTACCCGATGAGAATCAGTCAGAGGTCTTGGTTGTTCATCAATGTTATGAATGTCGAGAACTTCACACATGAATTGAATTACAGGTTGTGCTTTGTAGAAGGCAGTGGCAGAAACTAGGGAGAGGAAAAAAAAACCATGAAGGAAGCAAATAACCATGTTGGGAAGCCAAAGACTCAAACAAATGAACTGATTTTTAGTTCAAAGTGAGATCCAAGTGTATGCTTTGTAGCACGTAGTTTTCTTCAAAACATATTTGAAGGTTTCATGACAGCTAAGTATTGTGCAATCAAGATATTAAGGTCTGCAACCATACATCATCATGCTGTATTCTAGCTTAGTTCTTGGGAAGACAACCTTGAGTACATCAGAATTTAAAGGATGTCACTCAAACACAACATGTTTATGGAAGTGTTGTTGTTCCAAATTATGAAACCCTTCCTTCTGAAGCCAAAAATAAAGAAGATGGTGGGTAAGGACACTCCTCTGTTGAAGATGCTGTCTTCTGGATAAAATGTAGAAGCAAGCTCATGACCAACCAACAGCTCATTGACGATCCAAAAGCGCGTTGAAATAGTGTCGTGAATAAACGGATTCTATACTCTCTAAATAATGTTTAGACTATAAAAGATTTTCCTGCATTTCTTGTCTTAATGTGTGGTTCAGCTTGTGTACATAAAAAGAGGTGCTTTTCAAGGACATGAAGCAATAGGAAAACGAGGATGAAATTTAATAAGGACAAATACAAAATACTTCACTTAGGAAGAAACCTACATACAGAATGTGAAGCAACTGTCCAGGAAAGAGTACTGCTGAAAGGGATTTAGGGGTCATAGTGGGCCACAAGCTAAATATGAGGCAACAGCGTAACACTGTTAGGAAAAAAAAAGCAAACATGATTCTGGGAGGCATTAACAGGAGTGTTGCAAGACACGAGAAGGCATTCTTTCACTCTACTCTGTGCTGATTAGGCCTCAATTGGAGTATTGTGTCCAGTTCTGGGCACAACACTGCGAGAAAGATATGGAAAAATTGGAGAAGGTCCAGAGAAGAGCAACACAAATGACTGAAGATCTAGAAAACATGAGCTATGAGGGAAGACTGAAAGAATTGGGCTTGTTTTGTTTGGAACAGAGAAGATTGAGAAGGGATATGATAATGGTTTTCAAGTATCTAAATGGGTGTTACAAGGAGGGAGGAGAAAAAAAATTCTCCTTGGCCTCTGAGGACAGGACAAGAAGCAATGGGCTTAAACTGTAGCAAGGGAGGTTTAGGTTGGACATTAGGAAAAACTTCCTGTCAGGGTGGTTAAACACTGGAATAAATTGCTTAGGGGGGAAGCTGTGGAATCTCCATCACTGGAGATATTTAAGAGCAGGGTAGACAATTGCCTGTCAGGAATGATCTAGACGGTGCTTGGTTCTGCCATTAGGGCAGGGGACTGGACTCGATGACATCTTAAGGTCCCTTCCAGTTCTATGATCTGACCAAAGATGTAAAAGATCAGACCTCATAACAGTCTAGGAAATTATATCAATACTGAATTCTGTCCGCACCAGCAAGAAGACTCCTAAATTCTAAATGTTTCTCTAGGTTCTTATCCAATAGTGTGTCCAACACACTAGCCACATGTAACAATTTGTCTGATTGAGTGTGGCTTGTTTGCTATACTGCTTCAGAACTCGTTGGACACCACAGCAATATATATCCAACAGCCAGAAGTAACAGCTGCAGTTATCTTGGGATGGTGGAATTTCAGAAATGGAGGTTTTCCCTTGCCCTTATTCTCCATCTCTCTACCATCACAAACAGCTAATTTTTTAGTTACTGGACTCTGATGCCACAGGCACTGGACTTTGTCCTTAGTTAGGGTGTAAAAGATTTCAGCATGTTGCTGACACAAAGTCCATTGGAATTAACAAAAAAGTTGGGAACTGGTGCTTCTAAAAGGGAAATGACAACCTAAGGTACACAACTCCAGCTGTGTGAATACCATAACTGGAGCTGCTGTACCTTAGTTCAAGTTTTTGGGGATTCGGTGGGAGAAACTCTCCTGTCGACTTGCCTTACATTTCAAAGTCTGAGTCTCACTGCCTCCGGGAAAGTGGGGAACCCACTGGCTGCTTCCTCCTCCCACCAGTTGTGCCCCTGGTGTCTCCAGGTCCCACCCCCTGATGGCAGCCTCAGCAACCAGCACCAAGGCAGTGTTTCTAGGAGCACCAGGGAGGGGCCACTGCTTTCCCCCACCAACCAATGACAGCCCAGAAGGCAGTAGCTTCAATAAAAGCCTGTATTTGAGGAATAATGCACTATGGTGCAGTATTTTTTCCATGATAGCTTTGCCTCATTCAGTGCATGGAAAAATTAACTTTAGGTGGTGCTATTAGCTTAGTCCATACCTTCATTCAATTGAGGACGAATATAAAGAGACAGAGCAATACACTTCAACCTTTAAACAGCAAAATAAAAAGCAAAAATGAAACAAAAAACACCTACCACATACACATTTGACTATGAAACAGTTAACTAGTAGTTTATAAAGTTCCCAGGTCTCATAACAAAGACCAAACATCTCCCATACAAATACAACAAAATTCTTCAGATATGCGTCACACCAGTAGGCTGCCAACTTTGTATGACAAACTCTAGCCGACACGTACTAATGTCAATTACTAAATGAACACAAATAGCTTACTCCCCCAACAACTGGGGAACTGTGGTTCATCTCCATGGTAACCACATTTGTGAAACTGACATTTTGCAGAACACCTTGCATGATGTAAATGATCAAAACAAACTCCAATAATTTGATTGTCGATTTAATCTTTAGTCTCAAACCAAATTAGGAAAATCATCTTCCCATAATTTGGGGGTTAAAAAAGTCAAATGATTTCTATTTAGAAATTTCACCTTAATGTGAATCTTCGCTAGAATTGAATTGAATAGTTTCTACCAAGAAGATAAAAAAAGCCAAACATAGCTACAGAGACCTTATTCCATGCTGATGGGGAAACCTTACTTTACAAAAAACAACAAAATGCAAGAGTCATTGTCTGTGTGGATTAAAATGATTTTCTTTACATCAGCAAACAATCTAGTCTCTACTCAATAAGCAGCATGCACTGTTGAGAAAACTAAAATAACTAATTTCACTTTGCTTTTCAACCAATAGCCACATCAGAACTAACTGCTTTAAAAAGGTAGTTTTAGTTGGGTACAATGGATTTACAGGGAACTACTCCCTCTTGCTACAGCACTAAATCCCACCATACAAGAGAAGAGAAGAAAAAAAGAGAGGGATCAATTTTTCATTGCTCATTTTTCAAGAAGTTCTGTACAGAATTTTAAGATTGGAAAGGACCTCAAGAGATGATTTAGTCCAGTCCTCTGCACTCATGGCACAAGCTAGTAGTATCTAGATCACTTCTGACAGGTGTGTGTCTAACCTGCTTTTAAAAATCTCCAATGACAAAGATTCCACAACCTCCCTAGAGAATTTATTCTAGTGCTTAACCACCCTGACAGTCAGGAAGTTTCTCCAAATGTACAACACAAACATTTAAGATCATTGCTTTTTGTTCTGTCCTCAGAGATTAGGAATAGCTGTTCCTCACTCCTGCTTATAACAACATTTTAGATACTTTAAAACAATTATATCCCCTTTCAGTTTTCTCTGCTCCAGGCTAAATAAATCAGTTTTTACCAGGTTTCCTCACAGGTCAACTTTTTTAATTGTTTAATAATTTTTGTTGCTCTTTTTTTAATCTTCTCCAATTTGTCCACGTCTTTTCTCAAATGTGGCACCCAAGAACTGGACACAATATTCCAGTCAAGGCCTATTCAGCACAGGACAGAGTGGAAGAATTACTTCTTGTGTCTTGCCTATGACACTCCTACTAATAAAGTCCTGAATTCTATTTGTTCATTTGTTTTGCAAAAGTTACAGTGTTAACTCATATTTAAGTTGTGGCCCACTATCACACGTCCACTCTCCCCCTACCCCGATCCATTCCTAGGAAGTTATTTTCCATTTTGTATGAGTGCAACTTGATTGTTCTTACCTAAGAGGAGCATTTTACATTTGTCCTTATTGCATTTTCTCCTATTCAGATCATTTCTCCAATTTGTTCACTTGATTTGAATTTTAATCCTATCCTTCAAAGCACTTGCAACCCCTCTCAGCTTGGTATCATCTGCAAACTTTGTAAGTGTATGCTCTATGCTGTTACCTAAATCTTCAATTAAGATATTGAACAGAATCAGACCCAAAACTGACCCTTACAGGACATGTCATTATGCCCTTCCAGCATGACCATGAACAAGGGATGTTAGATATTGAGTAACTGAATAGTCGTGTAACCGCATGAAATCTTTGCGGTTACACAACTATTCAATAGTTCCCAGGGACAGGGGTGGCAGCCAGTCACTCCCAGGGAGCCCCCGGCCAACTCACGCTGTATCAGAGGCAGCAGCGTGGGGTGGCAAAAGGAGCCGGTCTGCGAAGGGAATCGATTTAAAAACCAGCTCCACGCACAGACCAGCTGCCTGCCACCTGTGCTGCCTCCTCTCATAGAGGCAGCGTGGGGTGGCAGCCCCTGTTTGTGGGGGCATCCAAGCTCCCCACAGACAGAGGCTGCTCTGCGGGATGCAAAACAGCCTCTGTTCATGGAGAGCTGGGAGCCCAACATGGACAAAGGCTGCTGCCACAAAGCAGCCTCTGCCCGCAGCGAACCCAAGCTTGCCGTGGACAGAGGCTGTTCCATGGGATGCGAAGCAGCCTCCCCTACTCCCCACCTGCTGCTGCCACTGATAGCACGGGCTCCTGCTCCCCGCCCCACCCCCCTTAGCCTCTGTATGGGGGAGCGAAGAGACATGTAGTCGAGAAGATTAACTGATAAGCCTAGGCTTATCAGTTAATTGTATAGTTGACTACACGTAGACACCCCTACTGCGAAGCATTGATGATTACTCTCGGTGAACCATTTTTCAACCAGTTTTGCATCCAATCTGATGATAGCTCCATCTAGGCTGCATTTCTCTAGTTTATTTATGAGAAGGTCATACAAGACCGCATCAATAGCTTTAGTAAGTCAAGATATACCACATTACTGTTTTTCCTCTATCCACAAGGCTTGCTATTCTGTCAAAGAAAGCTATCAGGTTGGTTTGATATATGTTCTTGAAAAAATCCATGCTGTTACTTACCACCTTATTCTCTTCTAGATATTTGCAAATTAATTCCTTAATTATTTACTCCATTATTGTTCCTGGTACAAAAGTTAAGCTGAATGGTCTGTGGTTTCCTAGGTTGTCCTTATTTCCCTTTTTATAAATGCACCCTATATTTTCTCTTTTCCAGTCTTCTGAAATCTCTCCCATATTTCAGGACTACAAATACTAGGGGGCTGAGTCCTCTGCTTGCTATGCTCTCCAACTCCACGCTCTCTGGCCACTTTTGTGGCCAGAGAGCTTGTTGACATCATTCTGTTGTGCCAGCAGGAAAAACTTTACATATAGAGAGATATAATAGCGAATGGCTCAGATAACTCTTCAATCAGGCTGAGTATTCTAGGATGCATTTCATCAGGTCCTGATGGCTAAAAGAAATCTAATTTGTCTACGTAATTTTTAGCTTATTCTTTTCCTATTTTAGTATCTGATTCTACCTCATTTTCACTGGCATTCATTATGTTAGACATCCAATCACCACCAACCTTCTTGATTAAAACTGAATCTAAGAAATCATTAAGCAACTCTGCCATTTCCACATTTTCCGTTATTTATCCTCTTCATTAAGTAACAGTCCTATCCTGTTCTTGGTCTTCCTCTTGCTTCTAATGTATTTGTAGAATGTTTTCTTGTTACCCTTTATGTCTCTAGTTTGATCTCATTTTGTGCCTTAGCCTAATACCCCACCACACTTGTGTGATTTGTTCATATTTATCTTTTTTAATTTGACCCAGTTTTTACTTTTTGTAGGACTTTTCCCTCCCTTATTTTTAGATCACTGAAAATATCCTGATTAATCCAGGGTGGTCTCTTCCAATACTTTCCTATGCAGTGGGGTAGTTTGCTCTTGTGCCCGTAATAAGGTCTCTCTGAAAAACTGCCAAATCTCTTGAACAGCAGAGACTTTCTGTGTTTCTATAACAAAACCTCAGAATTCTCTGCCCTATTGTAACCACCACTAGAATTATACTGAGGCAGGCACTGCGTATAGCTAAAACAACCTATAGCTAACACAGCATATAGCTTAACTTAAACAGAGCTTGTGTGGTATTAGACTATTGGCATCTCCTATATATGTCAACAAGTGCAGGAGAGGAATATGATGTACTTTAGACTCAACACACTGAGTCACCGCACATCTTTTTTGAAATACTGGCATTTTTTGTAATATGTCTTAGCTACTAAATAGCTATAAATTCAGAAAGATCTCAGCTAATGTGAACAATGCAATAACTGAGTTTGGACCACTGCTTTTCAACCTGTGGGCCATGGACCCCTGGGGTTTTCAAACTATTTCTAAGATTTCCAAAAAGGTTTGCTATTCCAGTTGAAATGTTTTAGGGGTCCCCAAATGAAAAATAATTAAAAGCTATTACGTAAGCTTTACTGTCAGAAATATCCTTGTATTACAAGTGGGTCATTTAACTGAAAAGCTTGCTCATTGGTACAGGTTGAACCTCTCTAGTCCGGCACCCTCAGGACAGGGCTTAGTGCCAAATCAGAGAATTTGCTGAACCACAGGAGGTCAATATTGTCTAGCAGCATTACCAAACACTTCCACTGCTTACTACAGTACTTGCCTACCACAGAGGCAGGAATGTGGAGAAGGAGGGGGCAGACGGGAGATGGTACACAAAGGAGCTGGCTTTCAAACCGCTTCCCCACATTTACTGGCTGCTGTGAAGCTGACTGGCGTCATCTCCCTTCAAGCATCAGCCTCCACCCTGTACCCTTGCCCCCTGGTTTGTAAAACTGTAACTGCTAAAATGCACTTATTTGTGTAAGCAAGTAATTTCAGAGGTTACATGTTTACACAAATACAGTTTAACACCCCTACAAAAACACCATCTATCAAAGTAACTGAGCATCCAACCTAA